CCCCCTGCAGGAACACCCGACGTGAGGAGCCCCCGGCCAGCAGCAGCAGCGCGCGCCCGGCAGCCCGCAGCATCCCGTCGACCCTTGCGCCCGGAAGGGGCGGGCGCTCCAGGCCACCGCCGCCGCCATCTTGGGTGCGGGCAGCCGGCCCGGCCTTGCTCCCCCTGCTGGGCTGCTGGCAGGGGTCAGGGGTCAGCCCAATCGTCATCCCACCTGCAGGCAGGCACGTGCCCAAGCCCCTGCCCTGGCAGCTGCAGAGCCAGCCCCCCCGTGCCCCTGCCCCTAACCAGAGTCTCACCGCCTGGACACAGATGCTCAAGTTGGTGCCCCCCAGTGCCCTGTCTCCTTGCCCACACAACATGGCTCACACTATTTGTTCAAGCCAATGCAAATGTTTACTGGAGACCCAGCCCGCTCGGGGCGCCAAGGCCGGAGGGGCTCCTAGCTCCAGGGAAGGGGGGGGCTCCATTGCCACGGCTCTTCACCACTTGACCTGGCCACAGGAAGGCCGGGTACCGGGGTCCAGCCTCGCGACTTTAGCTGCCAAGCGCCATCAAGGCATTTCAGAGGCTTTGCATGGCCGAGCAATCAGTTTGCAGGGCAGGGCAGCCGTGTACACAACCCAGCGGGCGGTTAGGGCCCTTCCGTGTCTGTGTTGTCGCTGCCGGTGGTGTTGTCCCAGTCCGCTTCGTGCTGCTGGTGCTTCCTCCCCCTCCGCATTGCCCTCTTTCTGTGAATGGGACAAGACTGTTCCTTTACGGGGTGGCCCTGCCCACGCGCCCCCAGCCTCGGCCCAGCCCCCTCGGGCCTGAGCTTGGGAAAGGGACTGAGCCCAGGGCCTTGCCCTGCCCTGCCCTGGGGCACCATGTGCATCCTGCGGGGATTGATTCGGTTTGCATGCTGGGCTGCTCAACCCACCAGAATGACAAGCACGAGGGCCTAACTCTGCCTAGGTCAAAGTGATGGCGGGCAGCATTTTGGGAAGAGAGCTCCAGCCACGATACATCGCTGCTGTTCCCTGTCTGTCAACAACTGCATGAATCCCAGGCCTGTTTTAGTCATGATTCCCCTCCCGCATCTAGCATGGGGCCTGGACGGATATTTCCTCCATTCCAGTAAACCGTTTTTGGTCTGGTGTCCTAAACATGCACAAAGGAAGGATGCTAGAAATTCATGACCTGGAAACTGCTCTTTTTACAAGGCGGCCCTGGAACAGGGCCGTAACTGGTGCGGCCATCTCTCTCCCTAGCATCGTTTCCTCTAGTGTGCTAAATGCTCAGTGCCATCCCCGGCAAGGAGAGTCCCAAGGCAGGCAGAGGCACATGGTGTTTTCTGGAGCAGGTGCATCACCAGTTCCCAGACATGGTAAAGGGAGCCTGGGACCTTGGGTAGCAGGATGCAACCCTGTTGCACGAGCAGCTCCTGTACTGTGAGGATCAGTAAAAGGGGGTGAAGCTGCCTAGGGCACAGGACCCAAGAGGCATTTATGGCCTTGTGTCATCCTTGACCTCCTCAGTCAGAGCTGATGCAGGATCTCGAGGGCCTGAGCTAAGGAAGGAGGCTGTGAAGCCTGTAGCACGCTCGTCTCCTCCGCAGACGAAGTGCGGAGGGGGTCACCACCCACGCTGATCAGATCACACAACTGTGGCACAAGTGGTCCTTAACGCACAGACCAGACCTTCGGTAATGCTCAAAGCTGTCCTTCATCCGCCGCCGCTCCTTCTCCGCCAGCTCCCCATTGGGTGGGCTGCGGTTCTGCCAAGGAAAGGAAAGCCTGGTCTAGTCAAAGATCGGGGTCCCGGGGCCTACATCAGACCAGACATCAAATGGAGGGCGAGACACAAGAGAGGTGGGGAGAGAGCCTGGACAACTGCCTCCCATCTGGTGCCAGCTCACTGACTTCCTTTCCCACCATTTCCCAGCAGCAACACGGCTGCTTATTTTCAGATGAGAGAGAAAATGAACTGAGGCCAAAAGCACAGGGTTGGGGGCACTCCATGACTACATCCATCTTCACTGCTCCCTGGAGCATACCCTGGCTGTGCTGGTAGCTCTTCACACCCACCGGGCCCCTGGGGCAAGTTCCAGCCTGGAGTATTTGCTCCTGGGCCATCAGTAAATCACCACTGCATGGCAGCATCATGCTCAGGCCCAGCTCACACTTGGCACCCTAGTGCTGTCAGAGGCTGTCAGAGTGATACAGCAGATCCTACATCATTCCTCCTCTTCCTCCCCCACTGCCATGCTGCGCTGTAACAGAGGTGTAGTATCAAGGCAGCTGGGCTCTTGGGGCAGAGGGAACATGGGAGCAGCAGTGACTTCTGGCTGCCACAGCCTGATTCTTCCCAGTTTACACTGACAGCAGTGCGCCCTGGGGTACCTATGGCAAAGCTACCCTCTCCAAACAGCATCCTGAGACCATTTGCTACACCCGTCCAATGTGCTGGACATGCAGACTGAGAATTAACCAGCTAGACCTGGTGTTTAGAGGATGCGGGGGACTGTTTGGTGCTATAAGAGGCTCCTCAAATGGGCATAAAGTCACCAAAGGTCACAAAAAGTGTTCATGGGAGTGAGCGGTGATCAACGATTCTTACATTCGGCACCTGCAACAGCGATGCACTCTCCAAGTCGCTAAATGGCTGGTCCTGCCCCTCCAGGCGGTTTTCTGTGAGGGAAAGAGAGCAGACGGTGTCACCACTCCCCACACAAAGTCAGCAGCGTTCCCAGCCCCACTGGATGGGGAGAGAAGAGACTGAAGATGCTCCAAGATAACTGTTAGGACTGTCTGTTCCCAACCCCACTGGACCGGGAGAGAAACTAGAGATGCTCCAAGGTAACTGGGAGGCCTACCCACTCCTATAACCAAATGAAACCAGTTTAAAGTTACAGTGTTTTTTCTCTGCTTATGCCTGTCTGCATCCACACCGGGGTAACAGTTGTATCGGAACCATGTCTGCTGGTATAGTTTAATGCTGGTCTAACTCTTCTGTCTGCACTCAAACAGGGAGTTAAACCCAGCTGACCCATGTCTGCACTGGCTGCCGGGTCACCTAAACCTGAGGGCCAGCACCATGGTCCAGTGCTCCCGAGTGGTTTAGCAAGGCTGTCCCCACAAAGCCACGCCACTCGGGGGCAAGCCTTTCCACTCACAGCCTGCTAGATCCCAGCTCCATGCCCCCTGTGACCATGGGCCTTCCTGAACGGAGGAAAAACTGATCGGGGCAGAATCAGGCAGGGTGGCTCCCACCTCGCCCACCTGGTTTTCCTCCTCCGCTCCACGCGCTCCGAGAGCGTGGGTCCAGGCCATGGGGCAGCCTGCCAGGCCATCTGCGCTGCTGCAGCATTTCCACTCCAGGCACCGCAAAAGTGGAAGTGAGGGGCAAGTGTCAGTGCTGCTGTTCCACTTTTGTCCAAACCTGAGTGACGGGAGCCTGTTCTGGGGGGAAAATCCCTGGGGTGCGGCTGAGCTGGCAGGAAGGACAACTGATCTGCCACTGACTGGCGGGGAAAGCAAGCGGCACCCCCCAGCCTCTGAAAGATGCTGAGTGCCTGCCGCAATCGCTGACCTCCCTGGCTTCGAGTGCGCCCCTTCTCTCGGGCAGCCCTGCCCATTCTCCCCAGAATTACATGCATCCTTGCTGCCTTCTATCCAGCGGGGATCAAGATCCAGGAGGAAGGTCCCCTCTCGTGCCTTTGCAGTTAACAGACCTTGCACATCCTTCCAGCTACAGCTTGTGCTCTGGGAGCCTTCCCAGAACAGTACCACATGCTTCGAGACGTCTCCCTCCCAAGCGTGATAGACCTACCCCCTGCCCCAGGCTGGACGTCACCTCCTTTTAGAAACAGGCTGGACTGAGGCACAGAGGGAGGGTGAGGGATTCTGCATGCCTGGGGGTCCCCATGGGGACCCAGCTTCCAGGAATCGCTGAGTACCCGCCCTCCAAGAAGCAGGCACCTCCCGTGCCTCTTCCAGCCAGGTCACTCAGTACCGCTAACAGGTTTCCAACGCTCCAGCCCAGACAACTTGTCCAGGCTGCAGAGGCACAAAGAAACAGGTGTTCCCCACCTCCAGCCACCTGCTTTAACCCCCAGGCCATGCCCTGCCAGGGCCAGGCTGCCAGGTTCTCTTACTCTTATCAGAGAGCTGCGGGTCCTCCAGGTTTCTGGGCAGAGAAAGCTGGGGGATGAAAAGAAACAGGTGTCTTGTTGGGAACAGCAGTGCTCACTTCCCTGTGCTCTGCTCCCAGAACAAGGACAACTCAGGGCACAGGGCAGCACCAGCTTCCCTCTCCTGACAAGCGAGTCAGGTGGCTGGCTGGCTGGCACTGCCTTTCCTCGCTAGCACGGCTGTCCCTCCGACCTGGCATCACCTGATGGATGCAGGTGCGAGGCATGAATTAAGTGTGTTATCCCATTAAAGGGCTCCTTGATGCTGTCGCAGTTGCACCCCTGCCAGTTGGATGGCGTGCGTCACCCTGGGGAGTCACAGCCCTTCCTGAGCTGCCTCCGGGATAGGGAGAGCAGCCCCTTTGGATCACGGACTGAACGCAACGTGCCAGACAGAATTGCTGGCTCTGGCTTGGCGTCAGCTCAAGTAGCTCAGAGAGGCAGGAGCTAGGACTGCTGGGGAAGACTAGGAGGATTCTCCAGAGCTGTGTCCTGCATGGAGCAGAGCCAGGACGTCCCAAGGTCTTTCAGTCGGCAGCTGGACAACAGCAGGTCAGTGACATACTCACTTCCTGGGAGCTCCAGGAGGAGGTGTCATCCGGGTCAGAGGTCTGGAAGGTGCAAAGACAAAGGGGTCGGGGATCTGTTCTGCCAGCCCAATGCGAAGTAAGCCAGAGGCAGTGGCAGCCCATGGGAAGAGGGGAGGCCCATGCTCCTCTGCACCCTGCCTGCCCACCTGCAGGGTGCATGGTGCTGCACTGTGGGACACGGACATCTGCCCACCCTGCTCTGGGACACCTGGCTGATTCGGGCCTGGGTCTCCATGTGGGATTCGCTACCTGGCAGCCAGAGGCTAAGCTGGCTGCACAGGGCAGCCCTCTTGTGCACAGGCTAGCCCCCACAGGCAAGGCTGGCCTACTGGAGCTTGTCTAGGGTGAGCTTGCCTGGACCCCAAGCCAGCTGTGCCCTGTCTGAGCCCAGGGTTTGCGAGCAGCTGCAGGACTGAGGCAATGCCCGAATGCAGGGAGTGTCAGGGGCTGGAGCGGAGAAGCGCCCCCAGTCAGAGCCCAGCTGGGCAGCTGGGTGCCTTGCAGACCTACCAATGCATGGGGCTCCAGGTGCAGCTTGGCCTCCATGGCTAGGAGCTGGCTCTCCTTCTGGAACAGCTGGAGCTGCAGCTCATCGCACCGCTCCCCCAGCTCCCGGACCTGCTTGCGGTAGGCGTCCTTCTCCACCACGCTCTTAGAGAACTGCATGTGGAACTGCTCACGGGTCAGCAGTGCCTGGCAGCAGAGTGGGAGAGCAGGGCGTCACTGACACGGTGCTGGACAGCCCCGGAGAGACAAGGCCCCAAGGAGGCTGGGCCATCACCTGGTCCCTCTCTGCAGCCACCTCCTCCATCTGCTTCAGGATGGCCTCGATGCGGTCCTTGTACATCTGCAAGTCCTTCTTCAGTGCCAGGCTCTGTAGCTCCAGCAGCTCCTTCTCCACATTATGCTGGTAGGGAAGCACAAGAGCACCAAGCTCCCACTGTACCAGGGCAGCCGAAGCCCAGCTACAGCCTAACATAGGGTTTGGGTGGACACGAAGCAAGGACGCCATGACAGGGCTGAGGGATGGACGGAGGGGCCTGACAAACATCCATGAGAAACGTTCCTGCCCTGGGATACTGCAAGGCTGTTAATGGATGGTCACAGCCACTACTAGGCAGCACAGCTAAGTGCCAGGCTTGCTGGACAGCAAAGCATTCTGGGAGCATGACCTTCCTGGGCAGAACATGGTCCAAGGCCCCGTGAGACCTGTGCAAAGGGCCTGTCTCTGCCCCAGGCTGGCTGAGTGACCGTGGACAGATGCCATGGCTTCCTAAGGGGGAGGCTTGTTCTTACTCAGAGGGCTTTGAGGTGCAAGGGAAAGTGGCCCCTTGGCTGGCAGTAGCAGGGCAGTTACTGGCAGATCCCTGCAGTGACCAGAGAGCTGGGGACCGTGTCACCATCCCCTTATCAGAGGGGCCATGTACCTACCACAGGCAGGGAGCCCCCTGCTCGCTCACACTGCTGCTACCTTGGGTCCTCCCTGCTCAAAGGGGCAGCAAGTGGGTCCCTGGCTCTGCAGGCTGGACCCCCTCCTTGCTCCCTGCCCCGGCCACACACCTTGTCCTGCAACAACTCGGCTTGGCGCAGATGTTTGCGTAGGCTGTAGATGGTTTCCACCAGCTCCTGACGCTCTTCCAGGGCCTGGATGTACAGGCTGCTCTTCTCCGAGCTCCCCACTGTGGCCACCTTTAGGGAACAAGCGCTACAGTGAGGAGCAAACGCCTTCACCCTCCACCTGAAGGGGTCTGGCTGGGAGAGATCATGCCCTGGCGCATAGGACTGCCCCTAGCTGCTCAGACCAGGACAGAGCCTGACAGGCCAGGACTGTGCCCTCCACTGCCAGCTGTGCCCTCTGCATTATGGGGGGAAAGACAACTGCAATCTGGTCCAGGCTGGTGCAGCTCACAGGTCCCCAGTGCTGCCTCCAAGGCTGCTGTTTCTGCTTTCTCCACCCTCTGATCCCAGCTGTGTCAAACCTCACCTGAGTGCATCCCAGACACTGGCCCTGGGGTCCCTCTCCCTCCAACCCTCTTATCCCTACCAGATATGACTTGCCCCATCCCACACCCCGGCCTGCCCGAGACCTGCAGCGTGTTCTCCAGCTCCTGGTTCTTGGCCAGCAGCAGCTCCTTCTCTCGCTGGATCTCCCACACCACCTCATGGCTTGGGCGCTGCTCCATGGCACGCTTCAGCTTCATTGTGTGCTTCCGCTCCAGGTTACAGTCATCCTCTGCCTTCATCAGGTTGTGCCGCAGCCGGTCGACCTGGGGAGGCACAGGGCCGGTCAAGGGGTGCCCACCGATACAGGGCAGGGGTTTACCATGACAGATGTTGAATTCTGCCCTCCCATTAGAAACGTAAGGGTATTTCATTCCCTGCTCCCAGCCCCACGTGAATGCAGCACCGAGGCTGGATTCTCCTGTCTGTCAGTCCCCTACGCCCACTCCTGGAGCTGGGACACCGGGTCCGTTCTTCCCTGCCAGCCAGGCTGATGGGGCACTGAGTCAATGTCATGGAGGCGACCATGTCCTGACTTCAGATGAATGTTGCTCCCCTTGCTTGAAGGATCTGCAGCATCCCAGGCCTCCCCCTCCTCAGCCCAGCCCCTGCCATCGGCACTCAGGGCAAGAGAGGCTCGTGTCCTTGCTCAGCCCCCACCCCGGGGATGGGCCAGCACACCTCCAGCTGCAGGTCACGGTTCCTCATGAGGGCCGTGCTCTTCTCCTCGCTCTGCTTGGCATAGCTCATGGCCAGTTCATAGTTGTCGTCCCTGGCCCTGCGCAGCTCCTGGCTGAGGCTGTCCCTCTCCTCCTTCATCTTCTGGGCCCGCTCTTGGTGCTTACGCAGCAGGCTGTCCCGCACTCGCATCTCCTTGAGCAGGTCCTCCTTGGCACGCAGCCACAGGCTCAGCTCCTGCGCCTTCCTCCTTTCCTCCTGCACAGCTCCCTGCAGCTTGGTGATCTCGTTCATCAGCAGCTGGCTCAGGCCCGACTCCCCAGCATTATCTGTCCGGCAGAGAGACCCGTCACCCTGCACGTTCCCAGCCTTGGGGACTAGCGTAGGGCCGCTGTCCACAGGGCCATACCAGGATAAATCCCTCTCCCCCCCCCAGCCATCATGGTCACAGGCAGTGTGCTCAGGGCCACAGGGACATAACAGTTATCAGAGCAGGGGTCAGAAAAGGCCCCTTGGCCCCAGCTCTGTCCTGTCTCCAAGGATGAGGGCATGCCGGGGGCTCCAGAAGAGACTCCCCAGCAACTCCCCCAGGGCAGACTTCCAGGGAGGTTTGCCCACAGGCACCAGGACTGAACAGTGCGGGGCTCCCATATTTCCTCTCTTCTCCCAGATGGCTTGCCACTGAGCTTGGCAGCACAAGCCCTGGATATTGGCCATCTGTGGGGATCCTGCTGAGGGACTGAGGTCTGGGAAGCAGCTTGCCCCGCAGGCCAGGCTCTGCCCGCAGAAGGCAGTGGGGACTTGTGGTCAGGTGTTGAACACCGCATGTGCCCTACATGCAGAGAAGCACCCACCACTTGCCAGCTCACCCCCGATGCAGGTGTTACCTATAATCAGAGAGAAGACCCTGCTGGGATCCTTGCCCGTGATCTTCTTATAGAGCTGGGGGTAGTACAGCTCCAGGCTCTCCAGAAATGCCTCAAAGCCCTTCCGTCCTGTCCTTTGGAGTATATCCAGGAGGACACCTGCAGGGCAAAAATGTGGGCACAGGCTGTGATGGAGGGGAAGGGCAACAAGTGTTCCCCGAGACAGCCAGACAGTAGGAGTCATGCAATGAAGCCCCACGGGTCTAATCCTGTACACACAGACCTTGGACTGGCTTTGACAGGCATCTGAGCTGGGGCAGGGGCAGGATCTGACTCTGATGGGCTGAGGCCTACATTAGGCTAGAATAGGATGGTGTATGTGTGCGTGCACACGTGTAAGAGAGGCTAGGGCAGGAGGGCACATGGGTGAGTGTGGTGCTGTGGTCCCGCTGTGGTCAAAGTCTTCATAGCACCCACCTGCTTTCCGCTTGCGGATGACAAGGCTGGGGTCATTAAGCACCTGCTCCTCATCATCGTGGCTGATCACTTTGCATTGCCGGAGGTAGGGCGTGAGCCGGGAGGGCTCAATCACTGAGATGAGCTTCACCCAGAAGCTCTCCAGGCGGTGCCAGCAGGTCTCGTCATCCTCCGGCTCTGACATGGCGGACAGTGAGAAGTACTGGCAGGCCAGCTCACCTGCACTGAAAACGATACGTACCACACGCCAGTCAGAGCAGCTCAGGGGAGGCCTTGCGCCAGTCAGGAAGGGAACATGCTCATTAAATGGAAGGGGATGAGGCTTCCTGCAATAATCCGACAGCCTGTGCATACTTCACACATGCCACACTTCCCCTCATGCAGGGAAACTAGCATGTGCTAGAGCAGCCTTGGCTTCTGTTCCCCCCAGCTCACTGCCGGCAGGGCCTGGGCAAGGGCACCAGAGCTCATATCCAGGAAAGGGAGAGCCTATGGCAGCTGCAATGAAAGCTGCTTTACTGCTTTCCCCAGAGCCAGGCACCTCTTGATTCATTGCCAGGGGGAAGTGAAACTGCCAAGCATGCATGCACGGGGAGGAGCGCTGACAAGGGAGCAGCTCTCGTGGTGGTATGTACTTGCAGTGGTAACGCAGTGGTGCAGACTGTGTGCTGCCCACTGCCTCGCCCCTGCAGCTCTGGCACGTGGCTTCAGCACAGACAGCAGCGTTTCTATAACCCCAGCCGCGTTACTGGGAACCATCCCTGCAGGCTGGGCATACTGGAGAGGTTTACCAGGCCTGCAGGTCTCTCTGGCACAAAGCTGTTCCCGGGAGCCCCAGAGCACACCCCAGCAGCCATTGCCCCATTGAAGGCATTCCCTCCGTGTCCATAAGCCTAAAGGGTGAATCCTCCAGAACCCCCAAGCACCTGCTCAGCCAGCTGGCACCTTAGGGAACTTTTGCTGGACATCACCCAGAGCCTTTTCAGAGGACTGTAGCCACCAGGTGCAGAAGCCAGCTATTCACACTTGCTACAGTACAACTACCAGTGGTTGACTAGTTTTGTTTGCTGGATGCTCAGTCCAGAGTCAGGGAAGTCAGTCAGCTCAGATGTAAACAGGGAAACAAGCAACAAGCCAGGGCATCTACCTCAAGGCATCCCCGACCCATCTGCCTAGGACATGAGGAGCAGTTTCTTCTTATGCCTCGTTTTGCCCATTTGGGACCAGATCCTACAGTGAAAGCCCTCGCGCAGGCCATTGCAAAAGGGTTTGCTGTAGTACCCAAGTCATGTCCAGGGCACAAGTCTAGTCTGTTCCTATGCAGACAAAACTCCCCTCAGGCTCTAGGAAGATTCAAATGGACCAACTGACCATGCACTTTGCCTGCATATATGGGCAGCAAGGTTAAGTCAGTGCTGAATACCCTTTTCCCTCAGGAAATAGTTGCCCTGCTCAACAGCAAAGCCAGCCCTAGATCCTAGCAGGTAGATGTAGCAATGCATTTCCCTGCTGTGGGGCTGGATCAAGGAAACCAGACCTTCATTCCTGCAGCTACAACTTACTCTCGGTAGCATGGACCAACCTGGGTCTTTGTATCAAGAAGTCTCCTCCTCTCTCAGCCTTAGCATGGCAGTTCTCCTGCTGTCCGAGCTGGCTCCGAGCAAACAACTTCCATGACTGCAGTCTTTGATCTTTGACCAGCGATCCCTCGGGGAAACACGATTTGAGAGAGAGAGAAGAAAGGGGAAACCAGTCAGTAACAGCTTTCATTGGAGACAGATAAAGAAAAAAGAAAAGAGGAAGCCACAGAAGGGAGGGGAAAAAAAAAAAAAAACTAACCTAGTGGCCGTAAGTGCTTTGTGTAACTCAGCCCAGACTTGCAGAGGGATGTCAGCCTCTCTGCACCTCAGTTCCCCATCTGTACAGCATAATTCCTGTAAGGAACAGGTGCTGCTGCCCTACTTAGTGACCCATGGATAAGACTCGAGTGCACAAGCACTGTGTCCCCCATGGGAAAAACAGGTTCTGAAGCAGGTTATGATCCCAGCTCCAAAAGTTATCTGCTTTGTATTTGTGGGGACTGGAGACAGGGAAAAGAACTAGAACCAGGGCTCTTGTTTTAAAAGACCAAATGGTGCTAACTACCAACTGCCATTCAAAGCCAGGCTCACTACCTTGGATATAGCCTTCTCTCAGGCAACAGTCAGGTTACTTTTGGATGTCGAGTTCGGAGCGGCTGTAGCTGGGATTGACAAGATTGTTTCTGCTAAAAGGTGGCCTTTAATTTTGGGCGTCCACTGCCTTTAGCCTTAACTGTGGTTGCACAGACCTTGGAAAAAAGAGTCAAGCTCTACATGTCTCAAGTTGGGCAACGCAAGGACCCAGGATTTAACCCTGAGCGTAGAGGGGTGGCCAGGCGGCAAGCATGAGAGGGGATTGCAAGCACGCACGTGGTTTTCCAATGCCCTCTGCAGCCCATTTTTCCGTTCTGCATGACTGGTTCTGTTCCTGGAACCAAGGTAAAATTGACAACCCGGGATTTGCCTCAAGCTCATTGTGTGATGTGGTAAGACCTCAAGACAGCTTCCCTCCGGTTCTGCTTCCTGAACATCTGAGGCTTCTGGTCACCGCTGACGGAGGCTCACTGTCCTCTCCGGACTCTCGGCAGACTCCATCATCGATGTGGGGAGACCAGAGCTGCTCAGTTTCCACAACCCAGTGCTTCCTGCTGTAGGCAATCAGCCTCTGTAGCTACATCAGAGGCCATGCTTGGCATCAGATACACCTCACAGATAGCGTTGGAGAGAAGGGGGTCAGAAAAGAATGTGCCGATTGACAAACCTGGGCAGACCCGGGCCTTCACAGAACCATAGCAATGAGGGCTGGAAGGGACCTCAGGAGGTCGCATCTAGTCCAAGCCCCCGCTCCGAGCAAGACCAGCCCCACCTACATCATCCCAGCCAAGTTTTGTCTAGCTGGGTCAAAAACCTCCAAGGGTGGAAACTCTACCACCTCTCTGGGTATCCAGCGCTTCACCACCCTGCTAGTGAGAAAGTTTTTTCTAACATCCAACCTAAACCTTCCTTGCTGCAACTTGAACCCCTTGCTCCTTGCTCTGTCGTCTGCCACCACTGAGAACAGTCCAGCTCCATCCTCTTTGCAACCAGCCTGCAGGGAGTTAACGTCACAATACTTCAATTTCAGAGTAAAGAACAAGATCCCATCCTTATTCCTAGCCGATGCCTTTATAAAAAATTGTAGCAAGTTTTCAGCAGTCCAGAGGCTGCAGGTGCTGCCATGGTACCAGCTGCCAAAAATAGCATTTTATCCCCCCCACAAACAATACTATTGAAGCATTTGAGCGTGAAGCAGCATGAGTTGATATCTACCAAAGGGAAAAAAAACCCCAACAATTGATTCAACTTTCTCATGCGACACCTGGTTTCTTGGGAAAGGTCCGCCATTTCTCATGCACAGCTAAGACCTGATGCCAAGGGCTGAATCAGAGCTCAAGCAACTGGCTTCACTAATGACTTGGGCTAGGCAGGCAGAACTAGCCACGACGTGCAATGCTGTTGGTGACTCCTGTGATTTGTACACTCCTTGTACCTTATACTCTGTTATGTTTCAGATGCAGCAGTTGCCTTTCAGAGCCAAACCCACAGCCCGGGAGCAAAAGAACAAACAAAACCCTGGCTTGTTCAGCTGCCTTACTCCAGAGCCAGGGAACCGTCAGACACACAGGGTGTTTGCACTGGTGCAGCGGAGACAGAGGGAAATGGGAAGTTTCCCCAACTCCCCCATTCCATCCTCCGAGGATTGGCTACTACAGGGCCTTGAATGACAATTCACTTCTGTGCCCCATATCCCAAACTACCATGGTCCTGGCTTGTGTGCTAGTCACTCAACCCTCTTGGCATTCAAGTCACTCGTGACTTTCTTCCAGCTCACCATGTCAGTACTAAGCTACCCGAGCAGTTGGTTGAAGGAATGTCATGGGCAACAGCTTCATGCTGAGAGTTGAGAGCAAGATATTCAGCTCAGACACCAGAGGTAAGACAAGTTACTACCTCAGCGTCTCCAACCTGCAGGAACTGCCACCTCTGCAGCATCCTGAGGGCCACAACTGCTACAAAGCTCCGGGTGCTCTGTGTTGATGGACGTGTGCTAAGTGGGACCTAGAGCTTCAGCTCTGGAGTAAGCGGCATGATGGAAGGTGGTTTGTACTGGACTCCAAACAGGCTCTGGGAGGTGGGCGGGAGAAGGAACCACCCTGCCGCATTAGAGCAAAGGGATCAAATTTTATTACAGCACCACAGCACTCTGGGGATGGCTGACTCTGGTAAGGATAATGCATGTTTCAAGACAGAGACTACAGGGCTTGGATAGCAAGGCCATGTTTTAGGGCATCTCTACAAGCCTGAATCACTGGTGTGGGTCCAGAGAAAAGTTGGCCCCATTCCTCTGCATTTCCCCTTCTGCCCTGCCATCCATCCAAAGCCCTCAGCAGACTTTAACTGTCCATCCCCGGTCTTGCACAAGACTCCTGTGAGACTTTTACTCCACTTTTGCCTGGGCAGGAAATGGTGATGGGAAGTGATGGACTTGTCAAGGGTTACAGAAAAGTCCGTGGCAGAGCCCAGAAGAGGATGCAGGGTCAGGCGGTTTCTGGTGTCATAAACCACAAAGGCTGCCAGCTTCCAGTTCCTGAGCCTGGGTTTTACAGGCTTAAGGCAAGTGAAGTCAACCTGACCTCTCTGAGCGTCAAACCCACGCACAGCTTCAGCCAGAGAGCAGTAAGAGACTTGGACAGCTTCACATGAGAAAAATAGAACTTCTATATTTGAACAAATATTCAGAGTCTTTCAGGTACAAAATAAACCCCTGGCTTGTTCGGCAGCCTTGACCTGGAGCCGGGGAACCATCAAACACACAAACTGTGTTTAAAGCCACCAAGGGAGCCACGAGCTCCAAGCAGCGATAGACCTTTATGTAAACAGGGTCAACTCACACATAAACAAACCCAAATCAAACAAAGCAGCATTCAACATTTCCTTCAGACTTCTCCAACAGCCTGCTGGCTCCCATCTTGCTCTGTGCCACGGCTGGGTTAGGAGAATGCTGGAACCAAATCAGGCTGTCGAGGAATCATCTCCCTTTTCCCAGGCTTGGATCTGTGGTTCCCGATGAGAGCTGCAGTAAAAGGGAGACTCCATGAGG